ACACAAATCACTACTGCTACCACCAATAATAATAATGATAAAGGAAATAACAAGAGAAGAGAATACAACACCTCACCACCAGCCAACTGATAACTCGCCCCCCCCAGCCCAACCAAGCTCTGACCGATGCCTCCTCCAACCCTGCAGTCTCCCAGCCCTTCCGGCTAACTCCCAGTTACATCCTGGCCATGACGTGCTGTGGTATGGAATACCTCTTTGGTCAGTTTGGGTCAGGTGTCCTGTCTCTGCTTCCTCCCGGCTTCCCCTCCTCCCTGGCAGAGCATGAGGCTCACAAAGTCCTTGGCCAAACCAAAACATTCTTGTTATCAGCTCTGTTCCCAAGCTGAAAGTCAAAACACTGCACTGCACCAGCTACCAAGAAGGAGAAAAATGACTGCTACTGCTGAATCCAGGACAACAGGCAATCCCTGTTTTTCCACACAGGTGCAGAAGTAACTAACAGGATGGAAACTGGGTTTTCTGAGTATGCTGTATTTACCACAGCTGTACGCTCCATTCCAAACTGCTGGCACTGGCTCTGTCTTATTCCAGCACCCCAACGAAACAGAGAAGACAGCAGCTGAACAGACTTTGCCATGACTCTTATTTGGGCCATTCCAGAGAAGAATAATAAAATTATCTGGATGAAAAGTCTACATAGCCATTTCTTAAATTCTAGCTTCATTTTATTAAACGAAAGGTGCATTTCAGCAACATTCTTGCTGGACTGTCTGCTTAAAAACTCAGCAACACAAGGTCAGTTATGTCCAAAAGACTGCGATTAAAATAGAAAATTTAAATCTAACTCTTGTAACAGGTCTCCAGACTTTTCTGATGGTGCATGCCTATCAGTAAAAAACCCCATTTTTAGCCCACACCCTCAATATATGGATATTAGTTTATAAATTACATATATGTACTGTATTAATGAAGTACATTATAAATCATACACAAAAATAGACATTTTAAAAGGATAAGATAAAGATGAAACGATGTTTTAAAATTTATTTTATTTATTAATGGTACAAGAAACCTTTTTGCTCTCACAAAATTAATAATGGAGAATAAAATACTAATTTAAATATTTGAGTGAGAACTGTATGATTGAACAAGCTTCATTATTATTGAAAATATTGGTTTAACACTTTGTGATAACAGCAATTTGAAGGTCTAAGTTGTTTGTTTCAAAACTTGTTTTTAACAGTCACCAGGGCTGAAAACAAATCCCAACTCACAAAGATGCGCAGATTCAGATGGAAGAAGTGTGATGTTGGCTGTGCCTACTAAATCATGACACTCATTTTTCACTCCCACTCATTACGCAAAGGCTTTTCTTGAAATCTGCACAATAAATTTTCAAATTCTCTGATGTTAACCAGATGTTCTTGAAACCAAGCGGAAGTGTTGGGTTTTCATATTTTTAACTCATGGGTTCAAAACCACTGAAACATTTTGTTTGGAAGATTTTTAAATAGGTCAGGAATTTCTGATGCCAAGCCTTTTAAGCGTACAGAGGGGTTTTATAGGTGACATAATATTTTTGGCACAGTATCATCTACATAATTTCCAAACATCTGTTTTCAAAACGCTTTCTTCACATCACCAGTTTCTTTCAACTGTCAGCCACTTATTACAGAAAAGGTGAGCAAATTTGGAACACTTAGTTTCTAGCGAAACAAAAATGCGTAACTCATCTTTGAGTTTGAAAATCCTTCAACGCACTTTGCCATGAGATAACTGATGAACCTATGTGTGGTACAAAATATTTTTATGGTCACTCCCCATCTCATAGTACTACTTAAAGGTCATCTTGGTATAAAATTAACCACACTGATGACAGCTTCTAGCACGTTGTGCACTTCTGTCTCTAACTTGTTTGATGCAATAGCTTACCTATGAACAGCACAGCTTTTTAATTTAATTTGGTGCAATTTCTGCAAGCTTACCCATGAATCCTCTATTCCAGTCAAATCAGCCACTCTATCAGTGGTTACACTTACATGTTTTTTTCCATAACACGTTGCTTTTATTAAAGAACTCATTTACTGTTGAGAATATATCCAGAATATATCTTTCCTTTAGTGGTTCAAAAGAAAGTAGTTCTACTGTAGGTCATTACTGAAAGAGAATCCAGCAAGGCCTTAAGAGGAAACTCGACAGAAATACCTGTGCTTTCAGCCAGCTACATAGCAAATCTCCCACATGTGCAAACACCTGCTTCTACAGATCTTCAGCAATATTTTCTGTGCATCTTCCAATAGTGTTTGCTGACACTATTGCCTGCTGATGCAAAGTGGTGAAGGAATTAATCGTCTTGCTCTGCTTATGTGCACAGCTTTTGCTTTCCCTATAAAAAAAAAGGGGGAAGAAGAAGGAAAGGGGGAACAAACTGTCTTTATGCTTTCTGAAGATAGCTAAACAATCCATGAAGGAATTAATCGTCTTGCTCTGCTTATGTGCACAGCTTTTGCTTTCCCTATAAACTGTCTTTATCTCAATTCATGAGTTTTCTCACTTTTACTCCTCGATTCTCTTCCCCATTTCACCACAGCAATACGAGCGAGCGGCTGGCTGGGGCTTAGTTGCTGGCTGGGGTTAAACCACAACAGGAAGAAATCTCAAAAGAGGCTTCTAAAGGTTTACAATTAAGTTTAATGAAATTATATATGTGATTGAGTATCACACAACTCTAAATATATCACTGAAAAACTATCAAGGTTTGTCTTCATTTTCTGGATGCTTCATTTTTAAATGCTTTTCTAATTGTGATGTCTTTATACTTTCATTAGCTATTATCTCAGGGTGCAATACACAATTGGGGTGAGGTTCATCATTAATTACAGTAGGTGTAAATCCATATTTCAAGTAGTCTTCCTGATTATTTCATGCATTTTTGGCTGATTAGATCATCACCATTTTTGCCTTGCAACTTAGCTGACGAGCTTGGAGCAGGTGAAATGCCAGCTCCATCATTTTCTTGTTGTTCGTTTGTGCTTATGTTGTTATCTTCAACCTGTGGGTTCTTTGCAGGAATCTCTCTAAGCCACTTGTCCATTTAGTGTTATCTTAGTTAAAACTAAATAATATAAAGCATAAATCCACTCAAGCAGCACACACAAACTGCAATACATCACAATCCACTGAAAGCAAACAAATGGATGAGGCCACCACTGTGAACCCCTCTGCCTCTGGGAGATGATGGTATCATGCGTGACAGAGCCTTGAAGGTACAGACCAAGTGAGGGCACCAGAGTCAAGCTGTACCTTAAATACTAGTAAAGTGTAACTTCTTTGTGCTTGTTTGTTTTTAAAGATAATAAATATAAGTAGACATTCTAAAGTTTTCTTTGTGCACACCAGCAGATCAGTCTCTCACAAGCCACGGCTGCATACACCTCGCTTTGGAGCCTGCTACCCTGGACAACTGGTGAGTAATGCATAGTCTGGCACCAGCTCGTTTCCAAGTTCACTGGGTGTCTGGGTTTTATAATAAATTACTGGATCTTTCAATGTCTGCTTTAAGCTGACAAAGCTCAGCCTTTGTTCTCCAAAGGATTTGGAAAACCCATTAACAATGACAGACTACTTTTTTGATGTTAATGTGGCTCTGCCCAGGCTCTTGCTTGAAATTAAGAAATTAATCACATAGTTCTTAAAAGAACTTATTGCTTAAAAACCTTACTACTAAAAATACTTGTATAAAACGGGGGGGGGGGGGGGGGGGGGGAGGAAGCGACTAAAAACAAGTCTCATATGATCTCTGTAAAGCTTCTGTATTTCACTGCGGCTTCCCCCAACAAGTAAGGATTAATTATAGAGGTAAAATTTTCCTCAAATATTTGTGTATCTCCTCTAGAGAGCAAAACCATAAAACTTAAAGACCAGACATCGGTCGTGGAACCCTGAGAGACAAATGCACAGTTACGTATATTCACACAAGAGAATGAAGGTTGTTCGTAACTATTACAGCATTAGACATCAGTCCTAAAATTTAGACCACAGATCCATGGTTGCACTTGACAGCTAAAACAGTTCTGCTGCAGTACCACTAAAACACTCCAAGAGAAACTGCTGACTAGTTCCTGTCTCAAAAGAGAATGCTTTCTTCAGTCAGGATACAAAGTCAGACCCAACTTTACACTAACTGCATTATTTTCATTATAAGTAGTTAGCAGGTGTGGCAAGATAGCATAGCAAGCACATACATATGAAATACATATTATCACTAAGATGACAAAAAAAATGAGATGCTGTAATATGATAGCTGGTACTATAAATGAAATTTTTCTTTTGTACTACTTCAGTCAGCATTAACTCCATTGACTAACATAGGCTTTTCTTTGGCCTGTGTATGCATTAAGAGGATGTTTCCACAGAATATACAGCCAGTAAGTGCCTGGCTCTGGTTCTGAGGGCATGAACTCGAAATGTCCAGTAGCACTGACTTTCTCTGCTGTCTGCCAGGGTGTGAACTCCTCCTACAGCCTTTTCCTCAGCTGAAAATCAGTTTCTCTACCCAGAAATGGATTTTCACTAAGTCTGGAGCACAGAGCTGGGTCTGCACTCCCTAGTCCTCTGCCAAATGCTGCCAAGAAAACCCAGGGGGTTCAAAAGTTCTCAGTCATGGGGGGGGAATAATCAAAACCTAGCTAAAAAAAAATTAACAAAACAACAAATCAACAAAAATTAACAATTAAAAAAACAACCAGAACAACAGACCAAACCAAAAAAACAACCCGAGGCTCATACAAGTGTGAAAAATTCTAAGCTAAATACCTTAACTAAAAGAGGCTGAAGGAAACTGCAGCTGAAATTTGAAAAGCCTGTAATGAACCACCAAGACAAAACAAAGGAAAAAGGCATACAGACAGGGTAACTTGGACGAGGGCTGATAAAGGTGATAGAAGTTGCCATCAGAGCGAGACGGGACAGCAGTCAATCTAACACCAACCACTCACATGATTCATTTTCTCCCTTTGGTCACCCCCTTCCTCATTTTCGCCTGACTTAACGTGATGCACTCGTGCCGCAACGTCGTGATCCGCGTTTTCACAGCGGATCTCCCCGCTCCGCGCCACAGGCGCTCACCCGCCGCCCCTCCGCGCCCCTCACCTCAGGACGGCCCCACCAGACCCGCCCTCGCACCGCCTCCCGCGCCTCTGCTCAGCCGTGCCCCGCCCCAGAGCACAAGGTTGCTACCACATGCGTCTGCTCGCGTCCACCGTGGGTTTCTCGCCTCGGCATGGTGCGGAGTAAGCGCGCTTCGCCGCTCCCGCGGCTGCACGGGCGGCCGCCTGCAGGTAGGGGTAGGGGCCGGGGCCGGGGCCGGGGCCGCGGCCAGGGCCAGGGCCAGGGCCAGGGCCGGTCTCGGTCTCTGAAGGTGGTGCGGCCGCTGAAATCAGCGTTCCTGTACGAACTCGGTTCCCGGTAGCACCTGGCGTCCACGGACTCGCTGGGAAGGGATCGCGCTGCCTCGCCACAACCAGCGCTCCCGCACCTGTGGGCCTGTTGTGTGTCCCTCCCGAGGCCGGTGGGGCTGGAGAGCGGTGCTGGCAGTGGGGGCGCAGAAGGGAAGGGTGGGAGCGGTCGGGGCTGCTCCGTCCCCTTTCCTTGCGCCGGCAGGCTCCCGGGGCCCTGGCCGGAGCTTCACTTGGCCTGGTGTAGGCGCAAAGCCCAGCCCGCGGTGCTCCTTGTTCACCCTACATGAGCATGTACCGCACCCGGTGTTCTGGGACTGCGTCCGATCTGCAGTGACCCGCCATGGGCTGTGGGTCTGGCGAGCAGTATGGAGCACAAGTCTGATGAGGAACGGCTGGGATTGTTCAGTCTGGAGAAGGCTCGGGGGGGACCTTAACGCTCTCAATAACTGCCTGAAAAGAGGTTGCAGTGAGATGGGGGTCCGTGTCTTCTCCCCAGTGGCAAGCGGTAAGACGAGGAAACAGCCTCAAACTGCGCCAGGGGATGTTTAGACTTGAGTATTAGGAACAGTTTCCTCACCGAAATGGCGATAAGGCATTGGAACAGGCTGCCCAGGGCAGTGGTGGAATCACCATCCCTGGGCGTGTTCAAAAAGCCTTTAGTAATCCGGTTTACTGGTGGATTTGTCAGTCGTGGGGAATGGTTGGGCTTGATGATAAAGATCTTTTCCAACCTGGCTGATGCTGTGGTGGAGCAGAGGCTCTGCTGCTCTCTTAATCAGGAATGCATTATCAAGTAATAGACAAGTATCAGTAGCTTAATGAAATCTGTATATATATATTTAGTGTGCCAGTCTTATTCTTTGCCTCTTACTGTAATGCGGAAAATAGGTATTTTTTTGGTTTTCTACCTCACCTCCCCTTTGGAGTTACCTGACTAAAGATGGTGCTTCAGAGTGCAGGCTGATGAGCCTTCAGTGTGGTACTCTAACCATGGCTCCACCTAATGGGTGGTTTGTCCAGATGTACTACTTGGTGTTTAAATGAGTACCTGCAACAGATTGTTGCAGAATCTGTAAGTACGTACAGCTAGTAATCCACTCCTGTGCTTGCCTGTTCATTATCTGTGTGGAGCTAGCATCTCAAAACACAGAGTTAGCAGTAGTACGTGGTTTGTTACCTGTATGCATCAAGTCTAAAGAGCTTCTGCAGACTTAACTTTTAGAACTGGTGCACAGCTGCTGCTGAGCCTAAACCAATTAGGTTTGCCCCATCCCTCCCTGGTTTATTAGAAGCAATTATGGCCTGAATAGCATGAGATATAACTTGTGTGTCTCAGCTGTAACATCTGTTTTATTTTCTTTAAAGGTATTTTTCTGGTGGTGTTGTTTATTTCATTTGTTTTGAGCATGCTTTTATGTGAATTTGTGATGTAAGAAGCTTTTTCCCAACTTCACTTGTGTCTGGTCCTTTCCTGGGTTTTTGTGTATGTGTGTCAGGGATGGTTGAGTTGCACTTGAAAGGGCCTTTACACCCCTATAGTCAGTGACCTTGTATAGGTACTGGTTTTTTGTTTTCATGGCAGCAGACTGAGTCTTGGTGAGGTGCATCTGCCCCTGCAGTGGAGTGACTGTCTCTGGCAAAGGAGTAGGGATGTAGGAGCAGGAAAAAGTTGTTCCAACTTTGTGCTCGGTGAACAAAGCAGGTTGAAGGTGGACACCTTTATTCTGACCACAGTATCCATAGGTAACCTTGGGATTCAACAAAGCTTTTGTTTTGTGCCTTTGTTTTCAGTTTGGGTTTCATGGTTTGGTTGTTCTGGATTGTTTTTTTTTCTTTTTTTTTTTGCAGGGAGGGAAGGGACATATTCCTCCTTCCTTATTTCTTTTCTTTAAAAATATAGGATGGTTTAAATATGGAAATTAGCAAAGATTTTGGCACACAATTCTTAAGTGTTAGGTTACATGGCTTACAGGGCACTTAAAAAAATACAAAAATAGAGCTCTATGGTGGAACTTTGACATATCTCTTAATTGCTTTGGGAAAAAAAACAAATTGCAAAACAGCTTTCTGGTACATTCCAGAAGCATCCATATTTAACTATTCCACTGCTAGGGGTATCTTTGAGCAGGCTATTAGCAGCTATTGCCAAGTCAGTGAAGAGACTGAAAAGTCCTGTGTTATTCTTACTCTTATAAATAACTTTCTTCTTTGTGGTTTTTGGTAGTAGACACAATTCCTGGTTGGCCACTTCGTCTTTAAATATCTTTTCCTATTTGGAGTATTTGTTTCCTTCCCACCTGCTCCCCAACTCCTCCATGTGCTCTTTGTAAAGCTTCATAGTGTTAAAGTGTCTGCCTCCCTGTGTGTCTGGATCTCTCTACCCTGCTAAGGTAAAACTAAAATGTATGTGTCTGGAAATCACCAGTCCTGCACACATGTGCTTAGTGAAGGTCCCAAACCAAAAGTCACAGATCTAGGTTCAGTTATGGTTTTTTTACTTACTTCTAAAACTTCAGTTGTGTTCCCACTCATTCCTAAAAGGCAAAAAAAATCTAAGCACCTAACAAGCTGTGGAAAAATACTTGGGATAACTTGCTTTGGTGTTCTGGATAAACTTGCTATAAAAGGAACTTGATGTCAAGAAGACATCAGTCTTACAAGCTTTTTTGAAATACTCAAGGATTTTTTTGGTGGTTGGATTTTTTTTTTTGTCATTCCTGTTTAAAGCTGCATTCTGTGTTATATTCTGCTTAGAAAGACAAAAGAAGTTTCATACCTTGTGAGCTGAGGGTATTTGAAATCTTGATTCTCTTTACTGGCAGGTAATTGGAAAAGGCTGACACTTCCATTTTAGAGGAGACTTTGAAGTTAGCTTTTCAAAAGAATTTGGTTCTGTCTAGATATCTAGTGTATTTGTTGCTGTAAGATGACTATTCATTTCCTGCTAATACAGCACTATAATTGTATGTATGTAATTTTTAAAAAGCCAAATTGAGACATTGCAGAGCTGCAGTACTGCGAGGCTGCTTTGGACATGACTGAAGGAGAATTCTTGTTCCTAAAACTAAACCTTCTGCCAGTAAATATATGGCAAGTGGTCAGATTTGGTAGAAAATGGGTGGTAGTTACAGATGGGCGCATCTGTTCCCCCGAGAGAGGCCAAATATATTTTTTTGTGCTGTTTAGCTGAGTAATTCTTGAAACTTTCTGCCATTCCCTGTTAACTCATGTCCCCAAATATTTGAGTTTCAAAACTCTAGTCTTGATTATTCATGATAAAAATAGGAGCCTTCCAGTAAGATGAAAGAACTTCTTCAAAATAATGAGAAATAAACATTAAGTTTGTTCTTTTTTACTCTTACAGTTTTAAAACTTGAAATACCCTCATGAACAGGGAGAAAGTATTTATTTCAGCAAGATGTTTTGGGTAACTTTGCCTGTTCTTTGTTCAGAACTGAATTTTCTGGTATGGCTCAGAGCTTAGATTGTTATTGTTAGGTCCTCTGTAACTTAATTGGTGCTAATTGGGTTTGTGATTGGCAGTTATATTAATAAAATATAATTAAACATGTTAGAACACAAGAACAAGGTAAGTATGCAGCTAGTTCTTATCTGCATTATTAGGTTAATTCTAGAATACCTTGAGTAAGTCATGTGAAACCTTCATTGCTGAGTGATATTGTTTGACAACCTGAAAGTGTTTAGAGTTTGGTCTGTTTGTTTTGCTTTTAAAAATTCAGATTAGAAACTATTACATCTGAGATTTATGGGTGAAGAATGCATATTAACATAATAAGGTGGTAAGATTTAATATAGTTAGCAGTGACCAAAACCCCTCTAATTTCTTGATTATAGTATTTGGCAATTGATTTGAGTATGGCATGACAGAGAAGTTTAAAGTCTTTGTTGGATCTGTTTGTTTCTGTGTTATGTGTATGTTTAAAAGTGAAGCACAGAGTTAAATATGGAAAGATGATTTTAAAGTATTTTTTTCTTCTCTAAGTGTATGTAATGTAATATGTAATTCTGTGGATATTTGTACATAAATTGTATTTTCTTCTTGCAGTCAAAGCTGGAGGTATGAGAGTGCCTAAAAAGCATGAATATGGACCTGTTGGGAAAAATGCTAAACCCCCAGGAAAAGACAAGACAAGGTACTGCATTTCTGGGCTTTTTCTCCTCTGCCCCATAGTTCAGAGGTAATGGGCTGAAGGTTGAAATCAAAAGACAGTTCTTAATTCCTGAAGAGTTTAATTCTTCAATTAACTTGTGCAATTTATAGAGGCAACTCTGAGGTAATCATCAACTTAAAGTTTCCTACCCCTCCCAAAAAAAAACAACCCCAACTTCAAAACCTAAGGACAATGCCTTGCGGTGAAAAATCAAAGGTGAATCTCTTCTTTATTGTCATGTTTTATGGAACAGAAATTAAAACAATGTTTTGCCTACCTGTACCTAATAAAGTAATATTCAAACAGTTTCCAGTGAAATGAGTTTTAGGCTGTCCTCATTCTGAAGGAAACAAAGCCCACATCTCCCATCCCCCACGAAAAGTGTTAATTCCTGTGTAGCCTGTATTTCTTATTTCAGTCCCAAATCAAATTTGACTTTTTCTGTTTTCTATTTCCTAAGCTTACTCAAGCTATTTTGCCCAAAAATGAAGGCATCTTTCTACTTTTGAATAAGGTAGCAGTGACTGGTTGAAGTGGGCATCAAAACAAATATTTTCTTCATGATTTTTCAAACAAAGACTGAATGTTTTTCTGAAAAATACACATTTTTCTCAGATGTCACTCAACAAAAGCTAAGATGACTGATATATGGATAATTGCTATGATGCTCTTAGAGTCAGTGTGACCCTAAGATTTTTTTCAAAGGAGCCTGATGCAGTGATTTGCTCTCAGAACAAATCTGCTGTGTTCTGACAGTGATGACCTTGTTGTGCAAGTAAGCAGGGTATATATCCTCCTCCATGTGATGATTAAGGTATTTGTGAAGATCTGGAAGACCTGTACTTTAGCCCATTGTCAGATAAAAACAGCAGGTATCTTGCTGTGTCGCTTGCCTTCACCAGTGAGTTAGATGCTTCCTGTTGAGGACTTACAGAAAAAAAGATTCATAGAAAAAGTCTTCATAGAAAAAAGACTTGAGATTTGTGGTGATGAGACAAAATGTAACCGTTAAAGTACTTTGTTCAGGGAGCTGGATCTAAAATTCCACTTGGCACTGTAACCTGTGTGCTTTTAATACCTTTATCTGTTTTGTGAGCATTCAAAATTATGTCTTGAGATTGGAACTTGGATATCTTTCTCTAGTGAGTGCTCCTGCACTTGACGTACACTATTCTCTAGCCCGCCAAAACATTAAATTTTTGCTGTTCAGTGGCGCAGCTTCTAGAGGAAAGTACAGTCTGATCTTGCAGACTTCTGAGAGCAGGAGATAAGGGATTTAGTCCCTTTAGAATGAGGACAGTGTAGAATTTGTTCTTTCCTTGGAAAGTGTTGAGCATTATCTTACTAGGTATGAATAGGAAACACATCTGTTGTTGCTTTAGGAGTGACTTTGTCCTCCTGCTATGAAAAAGCACTTCTGCAGGTAAAAATTTTTTTGCTTATAAGTGGGCTCTGATTTATGTCAAGATGCACTTGCCTCTCCTGTAGTCAAAATTTGGGACTAGTTTTGTGCATAAAAATAGAAACAAAACAAGGTTAAATAGTCTGTTGTATTTCTTAAGAATAGAACTCCCTTCAAGGAGTCTTTGTATTGTCCTCGTGATAGCTTGCTCTGGACTTGCTGAAGAGACACATCCAAACTGAAGCAGCTCCTGAATCTTAAAGCACATCTGGAATTATCCTGAAAGCTGTGAATTACTCCTTACACTGCTGTGGATTTAGGGACATCAGTTACTGCTTACCTGTAAGAAAGGAGCCACCTCTACTATAGTGTTTCTGTAGTACACAGGTAACAGTTTAGAAAGTCTGGGTTAGTGAGGATGGGTCTGGATGACGTTGTTCTGATTCCCACTTGTTTGTTTGTGGGTTTTTTTCTTTTCTGCGCTAAGATTTAAATTCCCTGTATTATTTCTGATAAACAGATTTACTTCTGCTGTTTCTAAACAGATGTTTTAAAGAACACTTCTTTTTTAGTTTATATGTGTACATTGCAATCATGGTATCAGTGTGTCTGACAGGCACTACAAAGTACTGTAATCTAGCAACATTTATGTGAAATAGACTGTTATGCCAGGAGTTAAAAGGGAAGTGTGTGACTAGACTGACAGCTGAACTCAGTTTTTTGGACCAAGATGTTAATTTTTTTTCCTCTAAAATGTTCTAATCAGTTAGATAACTTTTAAATTAACTGTATTTAGCCATGCCAAGAAATGGTGTAATGACATTATTTCCTGGCAAGCTACAGACATCAACATTGTAGGTCTTTGGATTTCTGTTTTTCTCCTCACTGGCTTGGAGGACGCTAACCTAAAATACAGTTTTTTTTAATAAAGCTGAGCTTTCCTGTTTATTAGTTCTCTGCACCAGAATCAGTGGTTACTTGGTACAGCATACCTACCTTGTTGGGGTGCTGGATTTCATTCTCAGGTTGTAATCACAGAAGTCATAGAGAACTCTGTAGTTTGGTACTACTGAGCAACTACTAAAGTAGTTGAGTTTTTGATTCAGGTGAGGTTTTCTGAGGGTCAAAGTCACTGTCATAACTTAGTGGGTACTCAGAGCTCAGACTGGTCTTGGCAGGAGCTGAGCTTTTGAGACTTAGGGAGCATGCCTTTTTTTTTTTAAACTATGAAGTTGCTGTGTAATAGAATAGAATATATATAATATGTCTAATATATTATATATATAAATATATAATAGAATAGTGCCTAACAGAATGTAGTGCATCATGTTAATAACTAGATGCCTTCCTGGCAGTTTTCTGAAAATACATTCCATTTGGCTATACCTCATTATTTAAGAGAAGCAATTCAAAGTTGTGTGTTCTTTGTTTTTTGCTGAGTTTTCTAATAACTCTTGTTGTTGGGGTGTGTGGCTTGATTTCCCCCCCCCCCCATGATTTAGAAGGGCTTTGTTTTTATTGATTGCCAGCTGTCTGGGTGTAATTTTACTCCTGTCTTTACTATAGTCATAGTTACCTGATGACATAAACAGACCTGGAATAGCACATATTTGTCAGTGTGGCAAATTTATATCAGTTGCTGAGCTGAAATTTCAGTAGGAAATGTGCCTTGCCTGATACACAGAACCATTAACTTAGCTGAAGCAGTATCTGCTTTTTCAGAGTCATATTTAAGGTATCTGGGTCCATGTGTGAGGGTAATAATGATTTTTCTTGAATCCATTTTTAAGATACAGAGGTGTCACTACAGATAATTGTATCATGAGAAGAAAATGCAATCCACAGTTCTTTCTGTTGCTGAACTAAATTATTTCATATCCAGAGATTGTTTGCGTATGCGATATTGGTAACATGGCTGTTTTTCATTGGAGTATGAAGAAGTTAATGGGATAATCTTGCACAAAAATTATATATATATATATATATATATATATATCTCCTTTTATATACCTAAATAAAAGTCTGCAACACAGATTTCTATTCTGAGGCAGCATACCTTTTTTTAATACCCTAGTCTTTAATGTGATTAAAGGATTTAGCTCCAAACCCTAAATTTCTATTACAAAATATTTTGTATTAAGCCTGGAAAATGAAAGTGCCAAGTATTACTGTGAGATGGAAATGCTAAATACATTCTTGTTTTGGTTTACAGTGCCATTGCCAGTTTTTCAAAACCTCAGAACATGGGTGTCTTGGTAGCAGAAGCACTGAGCAAAGTAAGTATCTCTGGACAAACAAGCTATGTGTTTGTCAGGGCTTCTTCATAAAGCTGTACAGTAAAAAAGGTGAATTTTCCTTAAACTGCTGTCATCTGACACTTGTAAGTTTCTCATCGACCTCTAAATATTTTTGTGATAGTCTATTTCTTTAGCAGTTATATGGCCAAAATATAACTAGCCTTTCCTCCTTACTCTGATGTGTTTGATTCCATTCCTATTTACACTAAGTAGCCCCAGGGTAGATATGTACACCTTTTACAGAAAATAAGGTGTGTCTGTTCTTTAAAGTGGTATGTTGATTTAGATTTATGGAAATGGGGGGAGGATTATCAGTGACATAGTAAATTTGTGGCAGAGCTGGGATTACAATTGAGAAAGGAACCTGGTCTTCAAGTGTTTATTCCACTGTGGAAATAGCTTTAACTGCTGTAAGGGTCCAATTCACAGAAGTGAAAAGATGGCCTCTTGCAGGAGGTGGGTAATGCCACTGCCAAGTGCTTATTGGGTACCAAGACAGCAAGTTAATGTCAGACTATTGCAAGTGATCCCCGAGACAACAGTCACAGAATATTCCACTGCTGCTGCATATGCAGCTGTTTCACCTGACGCCTGGCATTAGATAGTCAAGCATCTTCTTGAACTCTGCCTTGGAATGACTACGAGATCATTTAAAATTGTGTTGCAGAGCTGTTGATGGACCCTTTTATACCTACAAAGACCACTGTCTGGTATCTCTTGCTAGGCTGTTCATGTAGACTCTTAACACCCACATTTTGCAAGAGCTGATTTAACAAGCAGCTTCTTAATTTGCATGCTAATCTGAATATCTGACAATTAGAATCTACTTTTCATATACTTGCAGTCTTTAGATTGTTAGGCATACAAGAGTTCCTCATCTAAAGAGTTCGGTTGAGACATCAGTTGCATCATTTCAGCATAAACCTTTCATCAACAGATGAGTATATAGCTTTAGTATGTAGATGTTGAATTTTTTAATTGACTAGTTTGTTAAGGAGAACAGATACAACTCATGCTATTTCTCCTCTGCTTGTCCCCACCTCCTCTATTCTGACCTACCATTTCCTTCTCTTGATTTCCATAATCTCATTACATGAAACTTTTGCAGTAGTTTAGAAAGTGATAATTTGATACTGCAATGACAATGACTTGAATCTAGGAAAGTAAGAATTTTAAGCAACTTATTGTTAACTCTGGCATACTGATTATTTGCTCTGCTTTCCTGATCTTTACAGGAAATTCTGTGAACTACTAATAAAAAGGGGGAGAGGGGGAAATGAATGTAGTCAGGCTGATACCACTTTAAAAACATAAAATGAAATGTACAGAGTTGCCCTGGGTTTATCTATTGATTATTTGAACTTCTTGTGGAGATAAGTTTTAAGCTACTTTTATATGGTAAAATTTAGGAAGAAAATAGCATAAAAGCTGTGTTTTATAACAACTTTTCCCCCCTCCACCCTTTAATGTTACAGATGAACCATAAAATTAATGCAGCAGCCTTACAGGTGGCTCAACAAAAGCCTCAGCCTGCCTTGGAGAAGTTCATACTGCCTAAGAGAATTTACATTATTCAACAGCCGCGGAAATGTTAAGATACTCATTAAAATACTCATGCTTACTTAAAGTGAGTTTCTATACAAAATAGCACTTCATGCACTGTGGTGAAATGTTCAAAAGCTATGTGCCTTGTTTCTCACTGTATTTTTGTTACTGACAATAAAATACTTTATAAGAAGAGTCACTAAATGTACTTAGAATTTATTTAAATACCATGGTGTATGTGTAATCTGGTTTTACTAGTGTACAGTAATTACACAATGCTAAGAAGTCTAGCAGTGTGAATTTTGACTGAAGTTCTAGAACCTCTCAGCTTCCCCCCCCCCCTTTTTTTTTTAATAGCAAAGCTGAAGTGAACATGATTCTAAGTTATCAGGGCACAACTGAAAGGCATGTTTCTTTTTGTTTTAATTTAGGCTGAGGTGTTCCATGCTGAATGTATGCCTTAGTTGTACTGCACAATAAGAAACTTGAGCAAGTCCTGGGAAAGATTCCCATGCAGTGGAAAAAAAATCTTTTTCCTTGCATTTCTGTGTGTAAGGAAATCTGATTCTTTTCTTGGGATCCAAACAGTAGGAAGAACCAAGTGAAAACAGTCTCTGTTTGAATCCGTCTGGGGGTGGGGAGGATGAGTGAGGGAAGTAAAGGGAGTTGAACCTCTGGGATGAGAGGGCAGACATGAAGGAGGAGGAGGAGTCAAGGTGAAGACAGTGATTTGAGGATGGAGTTTAAAGTTGGTAGAAGGGGATACGGGCCTGAAAAACAATGAGACTGAGCATGGACTGGTAGTAATACAAGCTTAATAACAGGGAGGAGCAATTGTAAATACAAGTACAGGCAGTACCCTTGAGCCTTGCCTGCTTATGCTGTCAGCAAAACACAGCACAAATAGTCAATCCTGCCCAGTAGAGAGGATCATACTCTCCTACTGCTAATTTTTTGGTTGGGTAGCTCAGCTGACTGCTCTGAATTTAATTCTGCTGGGACTGTTCTTTGGTTTGGTTGGGTTTTTTTTCTTTATTAATGCTTGCAGATGAATAGCCATTAAAAATGTAGTTGAGGAGTCCAAGTAGACATAATATGAAAGGTACTGCTCAAAAATGTTTGTATTGTCAACGAGGCTTCTTTTTATTGTGTGCTTTCCAGATGACTGCAGTGGAAAGCTATTGCGAACGTATGAAACACTCCCTCTTACACAGAGAGATCACAGGTGGGCTACCCAGGATTAGTGTTAGCATTTAACATGAATATCTGCTTCATTTCATCCATCCATAAAATGTAAATAACTTTATATGTTGATTAAAGATTAAATTATGATCACAGGAGGTGGTGATTAGTAGTATGTGCAATAAGCAATTTGGTTACACCTTGAATAAGTAGGAAAGATTAAAATAGTGCTGCTCCTATGAAGACTGCTAGGGTTTTTTCCCCAGATTTCTTAACTGGTAGCTACTTGTAAAATATTATCACTGTTATTTGGACAACAGCAGCAATATACTTTATGGATATTTAAGTTGTAGCTACATGATTTGCAAAACATCTAGTTCTGCGTTTATCTATCCTACACTTTCCATTGCCTGAGCTGACTGTATATAAATAAGTATCAATATGAATGTAAATTATGTGAGTTAAAGCTGTCCGTATGTGAATTGATATATTCATGCTATCAAGGCCAAAAATAGCACTGTGCACTGTAGTATGTCAGTGCTTCCTACAGGAAGACTGTTAGTAAAATCTGTATAATTCTTATCTTTATCCTTTTTGTTTCTGAGGGCCTTTAAGGTGACTTTCTGTGAAATAACCTGCTGCTGAAAATTTATTTATATTCTGGCCAAGGGTTTAATGCAAAATGACATCTTGCAGGCAAAGGACTCTGTCTCTTCCAGAGTCAGATCCAGCTTTCCCCTGGATGCTAGATTAGTAACTAGACACCCAGTTCTTCTAGCCAGTTTGTGCTTAACGCACACCTCAGTGGAGAAACCATTTGGATACCATTTCCTGGTGCCTGGAAGAGATGGGGCTTCTCACACACTACAGAAGTAGGTAACTTGCACCCTGCTATGGAGAGAGTTGCTTCCTGCTGTGAGGAGTTACTCAAATACTGTGGGAATGGAGATACCTGGGATCCTTATTTCTACCTTACATCCCTAGTGTGGTTGGAAAAATTACTAGCTGTGTGCAAATTGCTCTGTGGGAATTCAGCTTGTTACTGCAGTGCTTCATCACTGCAGCTGTGTAAACACCATGTTGTGATGCAATGTTAACATGGCTACAAGTAGCAGTGAATAAACCAGTGGATCTGACTGCCCTTCTCTTGGTTCTTTATTTGATTTTGTACTTTGTTTTTTGTTTGGTTTAACTGAATGTTATTTAAACTGTTAGTATGCTCAGGATAGGGATGGCATGCTCAATGTAGAAGACAGCTGCAGGAAATTACTTTTGTGACAAATCATGGCATGCACTGATTGCTTATGGATGTAATACTTCTATTTTAAAAGAACCTGTCTACTACTACGTGCAGTGCACATTTAGCAAGTTCAGTGCTACACAGATGAGTTAAGCATATACAGTAATTCAGGTTCTGGAAGTATAGTGTCTACTGTATTGGCAAACAGGAGTTATGCAGCATAGGGCTCAGCATGTGCTTCTGAGAGGCTTCTAAGAAGCAACAGTCCTGGAAAAATGAACCCATGCACGTTCAATGCCTGGCATCTGTGTATGTACAGAACATAAATGAAGTGGTAGTATGGGACTTCCAAACAGCCTCACAGGAAGCCTGCGTTAATGTAAAGTATCTTCCATGTTCTACCTGTGTAAAATTTTCAGGTATAAAAAGAGGACCTAACAAAAAGTCAGGAGGCCAAATTTTGATAAATTATTTCATTATTTTTCTAAATGTAAAGCAGGTGCAAGCTCCTCTTCTGCTGTAACATACCTTGTGGAACAGGAAATCCTGGCAACTGATAGTTAGGGTTCTTTTTTCCTGCTTCTTTAGGATGCCACCAATGTGGTGGCATTGCAGGTAGTGTTTCATACTTGCTTTTCATGTCAGTAACACTTCCTAGACTTTGGCTGGAATCTGGAAGATTTATGTAGAGAACAAACTACCTCTTCTGCTTAAATGTATTTTGTAATTGAGACCATTGTATAATTAAGACCATTCTTTTTCAACCAAGTCTATTTTTACTCATATTTTGACAGCAGCACTATCAGTGCATTATTTTCTTATAATTTATTTCTATTTGTTAAGGTGTCCTGCTTATAATAATATTCTTAATAACAAAAGCTAAACAGGAAACTAAAACTGTATTTTAAACTAGTAAAACAACTTAAGTTTTTCATCCTGTTTGTGCCTTCCACACTGTAATCTTAGTTTGTGTTTGCACCATCATTGATGATACTATAAAGTTGTCTTATATTTTAGGAAGTTTGTTTTATTTAGTTCAATTCTGAATTCAGTACTTTGCCTTCATTATTTAAATATGAACTAAAATTAAATATGGAACATAATGAAACAAGCACAGTTGGTTTGCTAAAAGGATCAAAACCTTGTAGGAAGCCTATTTTCAGGCTTCCTGAGGGTTATTACAAATGATGCAGGCATTCTACAAAAGTGGCATGGTTTCAGGAAATTATTTCTTCTGTTGATCATTATTTCATCATGTTGATGTAAATAATAAGGGTTAATATGCAGTTGGTTTTACCTGTAGACCTCAAAACACCTTACAGAGATAGGAATGACTGAAGCCAAGTGGCAGTAAAAGTAGTGAAAACTGATTTCAGTAAATGTTGATTGGTTCAATGTACTGGTAAACTTGGTAATGTCACACATTCTATTTGATGGCCTGAGTAAGACATACGGGCCTTGCAGGGATGGATTTCCTCTTGGGTGAGGAAAGTCTCCACCTTTAAGACCCTGACATGTGGAGGGTGGATGGTACTTCACAGAGCTATGTGGGAATTTGGCAGTGTGCAACTTTAAACTGGTCTGCAATGAACTATAGTAACCCCCCGGCTGATCAGTTTAGCTGCAGAAATGTGTACTTCCTGCCTCTGGACCACTTGTGATTTAAATTTTTCTAAAGAGGGTAGGTGATGTTGGGGTTCAGTGTAGATATCGGGGTTCCATTTGTTCTGGCTTCTAGGCCTATGGCATTGTCTGTTTCTTGTCCTCAGCTGAGGACAAGAGTAGCCCAGCAGCTGATGGGCTGCTGCTGTGCTAGTATTCTGAAGAACACATTACTGAATCAGATGTGTACTGTTTTCAGTCTTACTCAGCTGCTGTAAACTTTAAAGGCACTTTGACTTCCCTGCTGAAACCAGTCATAGTTTTCCCTTTATTCAGCAAAACCATAAAGAGAACAATGATCCAGTGCAACAGCATGTTTATTATTCTTGTCAAAGCTGGCCATGGATTCTGCGCCTCATCATTACTCCACTCTTGCTGAATTTTAATGAAAAACTTTTAGATAATTTTACTAGCAGAATTTTCAGTCTGGCACTTCATTTATAACAGGCCACCAATGTTTAGTTCATTCTTCAGTTGAAGAGGAAGGACTATGCCAATTCTGAAGTCAAAGCATTGCTGACTCTCCACCTAACAAAGACTTTCCAATTCTCCGGTTGTTTGCTAACACTTAAGATTTTACAGTGGTTTATAACTCATATCAAGAGTAGCTTAAGAAATTTCAGTACTTTTATGTGTATACTGGTTTTGCCACAAGAGGCTGCTATATGCCTATGGCTTATTAAGGTTCTGCCAGCTAAGTTAGTCCTCAGAAAACAGCTATTTTCTTACAAGGAGGTATATTTTAATCTGCCGAGGAAGTTTCAAACTAAAAAAAAAAAAGATTAGTTTCTGAAAACATAATTTGGTATTTCACAGAAGACATGACTCCCTAGAAGTTGTAAAGAAGCAAAAGGCATAAACTGATGGTAGCAAAAAGTGGTATCTGATTCCTTATCTTTACTATTAAGCCTTGTTGCTTTTGTAGATGCTTTCACATTACATTCCTAAATGTGGTCACTTCAGAACAAATTTACTGCTTTATGAACCAGGCAACACTGAAAAGTTGCAGTGTTTCATATTCAACAGTTACACATAAAGGGATGAAATTTCTGAAACTGATATAATTTATACACAGTTCACTTCTGATGATTAGTTCAGAAGTTATTTTTAT